CCCCGTTGTGCCGGGTGCTGCACAGACACACAGTGAGAGACAGTCCCTGCTCCAGCTGAGATCAGGGCCACAGTATGCCAGGCGCTGCCCAGACACAGCCAACCAGGCCCTTCCCCAGCTGAGATCAGCGCCCCAGTGTGCCAGGTGCTGCCCAGACACGCAGCAAGAGACAGTCCCTGCCCCAGCTGAGATTGAGGCCCTGTCACCGCCCAGACACACAGCGAGGGACAGTCTCTTCTCCGACACACAAACACACAATCACACTCGCCCGACAGCATGCGCCCTGTTCGATTCTCTAACTTCCTGCTGCGACGCAACTAGCCAGCAGCTCCATTAGCGCCAGTCTGGCATGCCCTCTAATTTCAGGGAGACCTACACAAATCATCCCTGCTTCGCCTGGTGCAACCCCGAAAACATGACAGCTCAGGCTTCCCTCCCCTGCATCTGGACCATGTGAGCCGCCCCTAATCCCCAGCTTGCCTGGGCCCCACAAGGTGACAACACCCCTTATCCCTTTTGCCGGTGACACCCAGGCTTTATTTGATGTCAAGGCAGGGTGAGAGAGGGTTAATGACAGGCTGAGAGGCGTGGGCCAGCCCTGCCCTGCACGCTGCCTCGGGGGCAGCTGGTTCCAGAGCCGAAGGCAGGTTATAAGCCAAGCACACGGAGGATCCAGCAGAGAGGAGGCTGTGGGCACCAGTCAACACGTCGCTTGCTGGGGAAGCCAAGGTGCCAGGGGAAGTTCCTCCACCCAGTGCACGGATTACCCAGCTCCGGTGAGGGCAGATTTCTGGTTGATCTCTGGGCTGAGCCAGTTTGGGGGGCCCGCAGTGGAGAGGGATGCCAGGACAGCTCGGTGGCCGGTACAGATTGGTGAAGGGTAACGCCGCCGCTGCTTCATCTCGGTTCATTCAGGAGGGGAACCACACGATGGATGATTCCCGTGGCCTCCGCTTGATGGAACTCTGGGCCAAGTGCTCCGGGGCAGACCCTGCTCTGTTATCCGATTTGTAGACTCCAAGGCTAGAAGGGACCACTGTGATCATCTAGCCGGACCCCATGCATGACCCAGGCCGGAGAACTTCCCTCACTTAATTTCTGGTGGAACCAGAACAGAGCATCTGGCGAAAATGGCACATCGTGATTGCAAACTTGCCACTGATGGAGAAGCCGTCAACAGCCCTTTGATGAAGGGCAAGGGAGTGGTTGTGGATTTGTGTTTGGTGCTCGGTTAACAATATGAAGGATTAGCTCAGATGATCACAGAAGTTCCCATCTGGCTTTATAATCAGTGAAGCTAGGAAAATCGCGAGATTGGCATGAAAAATCATGAGATTTAACACCAATAATAATCCAGGCAAATGAAATCCTGTTGTACAAAATGGGAGCATGAAAAAAAATCACTCTGCTTTGAAAGCAAACAAAGGAACTGTTTAAATAACATGCAAAAAGCCTTTTAGCGTTGAAAATGGTTTGGTTTTAACACTTTCCCGTTTTGAAAGTTTCTGAAATTGTTATTTTTTTAATGTGGTTTTGAAATTGCTGCTTAATTGATAGATATCCAAAAAAATCAATTCTGAAAATTGCTTATCTTGGAAATAGAAGTCAAGAAATGTTTCAAAATGGAAAAAAAATGTACTAAATTGCAGTTAAAAATTGTCATGGAACGTTTCAAATGAGGCAAAACTGTTCCAGTTTGAAAAAAAAAACTATATGAAAACTGTTTACAAGTTTTCAAAACTTACCCAATGTCTTGCATCCCCCCATGAAATATTTAAAATGTCTCACAAATTCTTGAAAATTCCCCCTCAAAATTTGCAAAATTTTCTCAATTCTTGACATTTTCTCCAAAAATTTTGAAAATGTCATCTAAATTCTTGGAATTTTCACCAAACGTTTTGCAATTTCCCCCAAATTCCTGATTTTTTTCCTTTTTAAACGTTTTGTGTAGTTTCTTGAAATTTTCTCCAAAATCCTTGAAATTGTCCCCAAAATATTTGAATTTTTCCCAATATTTGAAATTTTCCTTCTAAGTCTCAAAATGTTCTCTAAAAAATCTTGAAATTTCTCCCATGTCTGATATATTCCTACAAATTCTTGAAATGGTCTCCAATCGTTTTTGAAAATTTCCCACCACAATGTTTTGAAACATTTCCTGCACATTTCTTGACATTTCCTGCTAATTCTTCAACAGTTCCCACAAATTCTAGAAATTCCACCCAACATTTCTGAAATTTTCTCCCAGGTTCTTGAAATTTCCCCCCCCCCAAAGTTCTTGAATTTTTTGCTCAAGCATCTTGCTATTTACCCCCAAATTCTTGAACTTTTCCTTCTCAAAACTCTTGACTTTTATTTTCCAAAATTCTTGACATTTCCCCCAAAATTTCTGATTTTTTTATTTTTTTTTAACTATCTCCAGTGGTCAGACTAATTGTCAGCGGTCTGTTGAACAGGGAACCCCTATTGGCTAACAGCTAAAGCCGCTTCTACGTTGTTTGCTCCAAAGTCTTTCGTAAGTAGCTTTTCACTTCTATTCCACACCCAACTGGTGGCAAGCGGAGAGTTGGGAAGAATCTATCTCAGTGTCGCCAACTGTTGCTCTTTTATCACAAGCCTTGTAATACTTAGAGATTTCCTAAATCTCCAGCTCCTGGAGGCATGGCATGAAGGAAGAACTCCTAGATTTTACTGTGAGGGCAGTGAGCCTTCATTGGGGCCATGTTTGTAGAGTGGGAATGGGGGCACACAGAGCCCCTGGCATGGGGGGAGAGGGAATGGGGCACACAGAGCCCCTGGCATGAGGGAGGGGAAGGGGGCACACAGAACCCCTGGCGGGGGGGGGGGGGAATGGGGGCACACAGAGCCCCTGGCAGGGGGGGAGGGGAATGGGGCACACAGAGCCCCTGGCATGGAGGAAAGCATGGAGAGGTTGTAGCAGGAGATGGGAGGTGGCCCCATGTGCATGGGGGGCTGTGATGCCCCTGGTGAGTGCAGTGAGAGCTCAGGGGGACACAAGCACCGAAGCACATGCACCCTCCAGCAACACGGGTCAGTTTTCTGCCCAGACGGGGCTGCCGCACTGGCCGGGGTTCTCTGCCGGAGAGACATGGTTTCTCTCTCCCTTGGGTTTTGGGGAGCTAGGCTGGGGCAGGCGAGCTCCCGAAGGCACAGGAGCCCGACACCCAGTGACACTGCCCATCAGTTAAAAAAAAAAACCCACAGCTCCCGTGCTTTGGGAGCCCCATCTGGGGATTTCTGGAGGCCTGACAGGTCGGTCTGGCAGACATGAGGTCAGCGAGGCAGGTCCTTCCGTTTCTACACTGTATGGGGATGGAGGGGTGGGTGGATGGACGTGTTTGGGGATGGAGAAGTGGGTGGATGGACATATATGGGGATGGAGAGGTGGGTGGGTGGGTGGACGTGTATGGGGATGGAGGGGTGGGTGGATGGACGTGTATGGGGATGGTGGGTGAGTGGACGTATTTGGGGATGGAGGGGTGGATGGATGGATGGACATGTATGGGGATGGAGGGATGGGTGGATGGAAGTGTTTGGGGATGGAGGGGTGGGTGGACAGACATGTATGGGGATGAAGGGGTGGGTGGATGGACATGTATGGGGATGGAGGGGTGGGTGGATGGACGTGTATGGGGATGGAGGGATGGGTGGATGGATGTGTATGGGATGGTGAGTGGGTGGACGTATTTGGGGATGGAGGGGTGGATGGATGGATGGACATGTATGGGGATGGAGGGATGGGTGGATGGACGTGTTTGGGGATGGAGGGGTGGGTGGATGGATGGATGTGTTTGGGGATGGAGGGGTGGGTGGATGGACGTGTATGGGGATGGAGGGGTGGGTGGGTGGGTGGACGTGTTTGGGGATGGAAGGATGGGTGGACGGACGTGTTTGGGGATGAAGCGGCATCTAACCCAGAGCAGGTGGTGGATGTTGGTGGGCGGAGTCTGTTTTGAGGGGGTGAGTTATTTGTTAATTTTCCCTTTTCCTTCTCCCCCCACCACCGAGGCAGCTGCCGCTAGCCCTGTGCATCACCGCGCCTGAGCCCCATGGAGCTGATGGCTATCGCGCTGCTACTGGTGACTGCAGGTGAGGGGGGTATATAGGAGCGGGGGGCTGTGGGAGGGGAAGAGGGTGTGCAGGGAGGAGGGGGTTGTGTGCACATGGGGGGCTGTGTGCGCAGACAGGGACAGAGGGCCCATGTGGGGGAAATGGGTGTTAGGGAGGTGCATGTGTGCAGGGAAGGATTGTGTATGTGGAGGGGGAAGGGGAGGTGTGGGGGCAAGGAGGGGGTTGCAGGGAAGGGGAGGTGTGGGGGGCAGGGATGGGGATTGTGGGAGGATGAGGAGTTGAGGGGGCAGGAATGGGGATTGTGGGAGGATGAGTAGGTGTGGGGGGATGGGGTGGGGGGCAGGGAGAGGGTTGTGGGGGGATGGGAAGGTGTGGGGGCAGGGAGGGGGTTGCAGGGGGATGGGGATGTGTGGGGGGCAGGGATGGGGATTGTGGGAGGATGAGTAGGTGTGGGGGGATGGGGGTGGAAGGCAGAGAGAAGGTTGTGGGGGGATGGGGGTGGGGGGCAGGGAGGGGGCTGCAGGGGGATGGGAAGGTGTGGGGGGCAGGGAGGGGGTTGCAGGGGAGGGTTGTGCACAGCTGCAATTTCTGAGGGTGACTGGCCCTGACCCTCGCCCGCAGTGGGAGGGCGGTCGTCGGCAGTGGGGACTGAACGGGACTGACCCATCTTAATGCATGAGCCACTTTAGATAGATAGATAGATAGAGGGGGTGTGTGGGGATAGATAGATAGATAGATAGATAGATAGATAGTAGTGGCGTGGTGGGGCTGGATAGATGAATATTGGCAATGTTTGCTGTGTGGGGATGGCTAGTGGGCTGTGTGGGGATGGCTAGTGGGGGGGATCGATAGATAGAGGGAGGTGTGGGGCTGGCTAGACAGATAGAGGGGGTGTCATAGATGCTGGAACTAGGGGCTCTAGGGGTGCTGCTGCACCCCCCATCTTGAAGTGGTTTCCATCATATACAGGGTTTACATTTTGGTCCAATGGCTCTCAGCCCGCCCACTATACAAATTGTTCCAGCACTCCTGGGGGCGTTAGGATGGATAGATAAAGGGGTGGGGGTGGGGGGATGGCTAGATAGATAGTGGGGAGGGGATTGTGGGGCTGGATAGATAGTGGGCTGTTTGGGGATTGATTGACAGATGGATCGATCAATGGATCCTCTCCCATGACTCCAGCAGCTGGGGATTTAAGACCCAGACAAAACACGGTGCCCCTTGCCCTATAATCGCTGGAACCGGCCCCACGGCCCATTGCAGCAGCTCTGCCTGTGGCCCTGCTTCGATCTCCCCCCCGCTCCGGGCCCCTCGTGCTGACGTGGAGTTTGCCGACAGGTGCTGCAGTGTCCGCCCAGGACGACGGGGGCAGGATCATCGGCGGCTACACGTGTCCCCGCTACTCCCAGCCCTGGCAGGCCTTCGTCTACGGCCCGCTGCAGTGTGGAGGCATCCTGGTCGACAGGAGCTGGGTGCTCTCTGCCGCCCACTGCTACAGACCGTAAGTGTGTGTGCGTGTGTGCGTCCCTGCCGCCCCCTGCTGGAGGGGCTGAGCCCTGCACTGCG